CCTCGTTCGCAGTGGCGTCTCCCTCTCTTTTTCTGCTATACATCAATCTTGTTTTCGCCTCTCTCCTCCACCTCCACCGTTTGCGCCTTCTAACCTCTCCTCTGTCACTGAACAACTCACTCTCCTAACTCTCTCTCTACATCTTGTATCTCTGTGCTCTCTCTCTCGGCCTCGCTCGCCCTCTCTTCTCGCACTCTCCCTCTTCTCTCTCTTCTCGCTTTTCTCTCTCTTTTTCTCTCTCTCTCTCCTCTTCTTTCTCTCTCTTTCTCTACTTCGCATCTCTCTCTCTTTCTCTCTCTTCTCTCTCCGGCTCTTCTTCTTTTCCTGCTCTCTTTTTCTCTCTCTGCTCTTCTTTACATACTAACACCACCTCTCTCACGCTCTCTCTATCTCCCTCGCTCTCTCGCTCCCTCTCTCACTCCCTCTCTCTACCTGTCTATAGGTACGGACTAGATCTTCATGCGTGAGAGTGTGAAGTCGACCATCGACCGCATTGCTGCATCAGTGCATCATCCGACACGTGCCCCGCAGCATCCAGCGATGTGGTGCGCCATCCTGCAGCGTGCGCTCCTACGCGACGATGCGCTCGGCGCGGCGCTCATCCAGGGCCGTCGTTGCGCGCCACCTGCGCGACGCGCCACGTACTCGGCGCGGGATGCTGCAGACGTGGTGCGGCGGCGCCTCGCGACGCGAGGGTACCAGCTGCAGCGCAACGCCGACGGTGACGATACAGAGCGCGTGGCGCGGCTACAGGCGCGGCGTCGTCTACGCTCCGTCGATCCGCGGCGCGAGGCGGAAGCGGAGAGTCGCCGCGGAGACGAGCAGCCGAGAGGCTGACGCGCACACGGTTGCCGCGGAGACGAGCAGCCGAGAGGCTGACGCGCACACGCCGTTTGCCCGCGGAGACGGCGGTCGCAGCCTGACGCGATCACCGTGGAGATGCGCGACACGTCGCCGTTCCGCCGTGACGACGGCAAGCGACAGCACGTGCAAGCAGCGAGGACCGCGCGCAATGCGGGGCGCGCGCGGCGCAGGCGGCGCGGGAGAGCGTCCCCACCGTTCAGCCGCTGCGGACGAGTGCACGGAGGAACCTGCGTGGCGGATGCGGGGCGAGCAACGGCAGGCCGCGGGGCGACCGAGCCGCGCAGCACGATTGACTTGGTGCTTATCAGCATGCCGGACCCCCCTGCGCCGCCGCCGGCCGCCGAAAAGTACGCTCCCCCGCATCGACGAGCCGGGGCGCCGCCGCGGCAGCACGGCCCCGCGGCGTCGTCGCCCGCCGCCCGCGTGTCGCCCGCCGCCGGCCCCAGCAAGGAGAGAGCTGTCGCCAGAGTGACGGAAGCGGCTGCTGACGCAAGACACGAGCCAGGTAGGACCTGCTCCGGTGACGCAGCAAACCCCGGCAACGGACCCGGACTCCGGAGGACAGGCACGCGGATCCTTCGAGACGACGCCGACGACGCGGAGCCGGGCACGGCCAGGCGGCGCGGCGGCGGACGGGCACGTCGCGCGGCGGAGGCGACGAGCGCGCGGTCGCAAGTCGCGACAGCGCGGAGCGATCGTCGACGACGAACGCCGTGGCCGCGCGCGGCGACTCGCGAAGGGACACTAATGAAGTCCACCGTTCTCGCTCGCGGTGCGCGACCGAGCGACGGAGGCAGGCGTACGTCGCGCGATCGTACGCGGAGGGCCAAGCCGGCGGTGGCCGGACCACGCATCGAGCTCTCCGCCGAGAAAACTATGTGTGATGTGCCGAGCCAGTTCTGTGGCTCGAGGCGGGGTCGCCCGGCTCGCTTGCCGCCGGCGATGATCGCCATCAGGAGCCGGCAGCGCGGGAGATGCACAAGCGCGATCGCCGCGGAAGGCTGGAGTACGCGGACCGGCGCCGCTGGCAACGCCGGCGAAGCCGCGAAGTCGCACCAGGGGGCTGCTGCACGGGGCTGTCTCGATGAAGCAGAACATCCCGCCCAGGGTGGTTTGGCCGCTCCGCGAAGCCGAAGCCACGAGAGGCCCCACCGCCGACGCGTGACACGGACGATTCGCAGCGGGACGACGGCGGTGGCAGACGCGGCGTCGCCGCCAGAGCGGGCGCGCCACCACTATCTGCACCCGGGCGACGCGATGGCGCACCGGCTGAAGGCGACGAAGGCTCGCTCGCGGCGACACGTGCGCCGCCCTGTCGGGCGAGCTCCGTCGCCGCCGGCCAGCAAGGCATACAAGTGCGCCGCCTGCAAGGACGTCTACCATGCCCCTGCACGCCCGTTGCCCCCTGCCGCAAACACGCGCGGGACAGTGGCGCCCCCCGGGAGAAACCCGCCGCCGCGCCGAGCGAGAGAGAGAGTGAAAGAGAGAGAGGGAGAGAGAGAGAGAGAGAGGGAGAGCGAGAGAGAGAGAGAGTTAGGAAGTGAGTTGTTAGTGACAGAGAGAGTTAGGAAGCCGAAGGGTGGAGGAGAAGGGAAAACAAGATTGATGTAGAGAGAAAGAGAGGGAGAGAAAATGGAGAGGGATACACCGATAGAGACTGCAGGAGAGAGCCAGAGAGAGAGAGGGAGGGGAGGGAGAGAGAGAGGGAGGGAAGGAGGAAGGGAGTGGTAGAGAGATAGAGACTGCGGGAGAGAGAGAGAGAGGGAGGAGGGAGGGAAGGAGGAGAGGAGTGTAGGAAGCGATGGTACCACGCACATTTCAACCACCACATGAAACCCAGTCTCGCGACAGACCCCACCGCCGCCACCACGCTAACTCACCTAGCTGGCAGTTGACGCTCCCCAGTCCCAGGCCCTGGAACAGATTCTGCACGTCCTTGCGGGAGCTGAGCAGTCCCCTGGGAAGCAGGATGCGGTAGTGCTGGATGAACTCATCGAAGGTGAGACGGATGTTGTAGCCCGCGCGTCGGATCCTCACAGTCTCCAGCATGCCTAACGACGAAGGAGACATCCTCGTTAGACCTCGTTAGCAGTCATCCTCGTTAGTCGTAACCCCTCCCACCTCTAGTCACGCCCCGTGTATTACTATTGTACTACTACCTTGTACTATTCGCCACATGTTCTTCCTACCTTCTCTACCCTCACTTCCTCTGATAATCACCTTTCATTACTATTGCTCGCAACCTGTTCTCTTTCAACCCCGGCTAGTCTCACTTCCTTCAATCATCCCCTTACGTTACTCTTGTTCACTACCTGTTCTCTTTCTACCCTGGCTACCCTCACTAGTCGCTACCTCTAATCACCCATTTTCTCCGTTACACACCAACCCCCTACCTCAGCCCAGACATAGCCATGCCCGCGCCACACCCACATCGCAGCCACGCCTGCTGCCACACCCACACACCACGCCCACGCCCGTGCCACGCCCACGCCGGTGCTCACCAGTGTATCGGAGCTGTCTGAGAACGACGTCGTCTACGAACTCGCACGGCGCCTTGTCCATGTTGGAGCGGATGCATCGCACGAAGAACGGGTTCGCTCTGTTCAACGTCTCCATCAGCTGACTCAACGACGACTAAAGCATCGACGACGCAACAATAGAACAGCGTAAACGACGACGCAACAATAGAACAGCGTAAACGACGACGCAACAATAGAACAGCGTAAACGACGATGTTACGAAATAGTAGCAATAATAGTTATAATATAATTAATATGATAGTTTATTGATCACAAATAACCAAGGCAACAAAAACAGAAAAAACAGCAACAACAAGAAGAGCAGCGGCAGCAACTATCGAGTGAAACCACAATGTGATAATTTGCTCTTGAAATAGAAGCAAAACGAAAGGCAACAACGACAGTATTAACAAACAATAACAATTGTTATAATAATTATATATTATTATATCAAGAATTGTAAAGTAAAATATACAAAAATATCATAATAATGACGAAAATTTAGCAACGACATTAATGCCAATACAACAACCACCCATCCAAAAAATTCCTACAAAATATAATTATAATCACACAACCACCAACAGAAATCTCTGCTCACGTTCACAAACAATCTCGCGAGAAACGACGACGAATACCGCCAGCCAATCATCAACGTAGAAGGAAGCTCACAGAGGAGCCGAAAACAAGAGAGCGTACCTGAAACTGCGAACAGACGGTCTGCGGCTTCTTCTTCGACTTGTACGTGCCGTAAGCCGCGATGATCTTCACTGCCTTCATGTCCCGCATGCCCTTGCTGTCCTTACGACTCGCCTTGTGTCGCTGTATGATCCTGTATGAGCAGACGAAGCGTCAGCGCACAGGCGGGAGGGGGGAGGCACGCGGGGAAGGAAGCGGAGGGAGGGAGGCACGCGGGGAAGGAAGCGGAGGGGGGCATGGGGATGGAGGAAGGGGAGAAGGATGAGGATGCGACTGTGGACAGGACGACGACGACAAGAGGACATGCTTTATTACATTAGCTACATTACATCACTAGCCATTGCCTGAACCTGCAACACGATGACGTTTACGCTTCAAAAGCCAACAACGACAAGAGAGCATGCTTCCTCATACTCGCTAGCCATTCCGAACCCAGAAAAATGCAACATTTACAAGCCGAATGCCGACGATGACAAGAGGGCATGCTTATATATGCATATATGCAATATATAGACAAGAGAGCGTGCTCGCGGTACCTGTTGGCCCTCTCAAACACCTCCCTGTTGT